CCTCCTACAAGGCAGGGTGGTGATTATAGCAACTTCTTTTGAATGGACTGCTCCAGTCCTTTGATACCAGGAATCTCTGACATATCCTTCATGGGATGCCACCTAGGAGTTGGGGATGGATTTTTTTCTGGTAATGGACTTTCTCTACTTTTCTAGGAACATGGGATCTTCTTCAGTTCCCAAGGGTTCTCCCTTGGGATGCCTTTTAACCCACTGGAATCAATTTGGATTGCAAGATTTAAGAAAAAACCTGGTCTTCTTCTGTAATACTGCATGGCCTCAGTACTCCTTGAGAGACAAGGAAAAACGGTCTATTGATGGGACATTAAGCTTCAGTATAATCTATCACTTAGGTCTCTTCTGCAAAAAGCTGGGAAAATGGACTGAGGTACCCTAGTGTCCAGGCCTTCATGGCCCTAAATCAGGACCCTGACCTAAGGCCCTCTTGCAGAATGTGTCTAGCTACCAACCAGGTTAATAAATCTCTCTGGACATACTGGATGATGATTGTCTAAATAGGTCCATTCCTCCTAATTCACTTTGGCTACTGGAGGAAACACTGGCCGGTCCAAACAAAGAGGACATTGCCTCTGTTGCTATCCTTCTTCCTTATAAACCTCAAGACCCCTCAGCTCCCAGCCCCGCTGGACATACCAGGAGCAGAACTATAATCTGGCAGCTCCACCTAAATCTGGATCACATCCTCTTAGGGAGGTTGCTATTGGAGAAATGGGCACAATTAAAATCCATGCCCCATTCTCCATGACAGACCTGACTCAGATAAAACAACAGAACAATATTCGGAAAACCCTTCTCAACTTATGGAGGGCTTTCAACAATGATCTATTAAGTTTGATTTGATCTGGCAAGATATATACACATCATATTAACCCATTGTTGTACTCCTGAGGAAAAGAATCATATCTGGGCAGGGGCTCAAGAATTTGCTGATGAGCTAGCAGCCAGAATAGAGGCTGTCATCAGGTGGGGGGTTGTTTACAATACTGAATCTCCCAGGAATTACCAAAAGAGACAGGGAAAGGAAAGACAAGACCATAATCACCTGTTTAATAGAAAGAATGAGAAAAGGATTCTCTAAACCTGTAAACTTTGATAAAATTTAGGAAGTCACTCAAAGAGGTGATGAGAATCCAGCTCTATTTCAGGGTCGCTCAATAGAAGCCATCCATAAATATACAAATCTGGACACAATCTCATTTGAGAGAACAACCACACTAACCATGCATTTTTTAAGTTGGCACCTGACATTTGCCAAAAAAATGACTAGAATGACTTTAGGTCCCCAAACCTCCACCCAGTGCCTATTAGAAGTAGCTACTGGAGTCTTTAATAATAGAGGTATGGCCTTATAGCAGGAAAAGGACTGGAGAGCTAAACTGCAGGATAAAATACAGATTCAAATATTGGCTGCTGCTATTGCAGATTCCCTACAACACCAGACCAACCAGGGGCCAAAGAAAATGCCTCTATCAGACAAAGGATCGAGTAAGACCCCATGCAATGAGTGTGGCCAAATGAGACACTGGAGCAAAGAATGTCAGACAAATGCTTTCCACCAGGGCCGTGTCCTGTTTGTAAGAACAAAGGATATTGGAAGAGAGACTGTCCTCAACTCCAGAGAAAGATGAAGACAGGAACTCACTTCCCCACCCAAGAGCAGAAACTGGAGGGTCTGGCATGATGGGCCCCTCAAGCTGGTCTGGCTGCCTTTGACAGCAAGATTACAGAGCCCTGGGTTATCTTGGATATGGGAGGTAAGTTTATCAATTTTCTTATTGATACAGGAACCACTTACTCTGTTCTTATTTAGCACTCTGGCCCTACTTGTCTTTCTAACCATAAAACTGTTAGCATAGAAGGGTAAACTAAAATGTGCCACCAGACAATGCTTTCAGCTTGCAAATATAGAAGTCGATTGGTTGTTCATATTTTTCTAGTCTTTCCATCTTGCTCCACTCCATTACTAGGACAAGACTTGATATATAAACTAGAGAGCAGGTTTGCTCTCACTAAAAAAGAAGGTGGATGACATGTTCTCTTTAACACCTGGAGAATTAAAACCTTACCCCAATATCTCTTCTAATATCTGGAAGGCAGTAACTCCGCAGGTCTGGGATTCTGACATCCTCGGATGGGCTCTCAAAGCCCAACCCATAAAATGACCTCAAAGGACTCAACCACTATACCTCACAAAAAACAATACCCCCAATACCCCTAAAAAACCTGAGGCAAAAGCCGGCTTACAACCACTTATGGTTAAGTTTCTCAAACATGGTATTTTTAAGACCTTGTCAATCTCCTTATAATACTCCAATCTTACCAGTAAAAAGGCCAAATGAGGAATATGAAATGAGTCAAGATTCAAGAGCTATAAATGAAGCAGTTGTGTCTCCTCATCCTATAGTGCCAAATCCATATACTATTCTCACCCAGGGCCCTGGTTATCCCAACTGGTTTACAGTATTTGACTTAAAAGCCACCTTCTTTTGCATCCCTCTAAATGAAGAAACACAGCCATTCTATGAATTTGACTGGACCTCACTTTTAAGCTCACAGGCTGCTCAATCAGCTCGGATAGTCTTGCTGCAGGGATTTAGAGATAGTCCTCACCTACTCGGGGCTGCACTTGATATCCATGATATCTCCCTGTCTCAAGGGACTAGAGTTCACTATGTGGATGATATTTTAATCTCTAGCCCCGCAAAAGAAACATCTGATAGTAATTCCATAACTTACCTTAATTTGTTGGCAGACAGAGGGTATCACTTCTCCCCTAAAAAGACATACGTATCTAAACAGAAAGTACAATATATAGGATATGAACTAACACCATGTCACTGCACCCTGTCTACTGACTGGAAAAAGCTATATTAGACCTTGGACCCCCAGTTAAGAAATAAACAACTCCGTACTTGCCTAGGCATGCAGGTTTTTGCTACTTGTGGATTCCTGGATTTGGGCTCTTAGCCAAACCATTGTACGATTCAATTAAAGGCCCCGATGAAGAAACTTTACTCTGGACTAAAGCCCAGCAGACAGCCTTTCAAACATTAAGAGCTAAGCTTTCATCAGCCCCAGCTTTGGCTTTACTAAACCTAGAAAAACTTTTCATTTTATATGTAACAGAAAAAAACAGGGACAAGCTTTGGGAGTTCTTATCAAGAAATTAGGAAGTGAAAAAGGACCAGTGGGCTATTTTTCATAGTCATTTGATAATGTAGCTCATGGGTGGCCAGCTGGTCTTCGAGCAGTGGCTGGAACAGCCCTCCCTCCTGGTAGAAGCAGCTTCAAAGCTTACCATGGGACAATCCTTGACATTGATGACTCCACATCAGGTCCAAAGTGTCCTAGAGACCAAAGGCCACCAATGGATGATGGGAGGCTGACTTACTAAATACCAGGCTATGCTTTTAGACACACCTAAATTAATATTTAAAACCTGTCAAACTTTAAACCCAGCTACTCTTATGCCTGTACCTGACCATCATACTTCTCTGTTAAAGCATGACTGCTCAGAGATTATTGATCTTGTTTATTCTAGCAGACCAGATTTAAAAGATTCCCCTATTGAATATGCAGATAACAATGATTGATTTACAGTCCACAGTTGCAGATGGCAGTAGCTTCATGAATAAGGGAGAAAGAAAAGCTGGGTATGTTATAGTTAAACTAAGACCATTGAGGCAAAAGCCCTTCCAATAAATACTTATGCTCCAAAGGCTGGATTAATAGCATTTACCTGTGCTCTTCAATTGGCAAAAGCTCTAAAAATTAATATTTATACTGACTCCAAATATGCTTTTCCAGTGCTAAGTGCCTATGGGGCAGTTTGTAAGGAAAGGGGATTATTATCAAGCCCTAACTCCCCAAACATGGGCCTGAAATAATTAATGCTTCTTGAGGCTGTACACCCAAGGAGGCAGCTGTAATTCTCATCCGAGGACATCAAAAGGATATGATCTTAGAACCTAAAGGAAAAAAAAAGAAAAAGAAAAAAAAGAACCTAAAGGAAAACAATTTTGCCGGCCATCCAGGCAAGCAGGTAGCACAAAATAAATACTATTTTACACTTATAAATATTAAGTCTTGACTCCAATAAAGTCCCTAACTCCAGTCTATTCAGACCAAGAAATTCACCTAGCTCAGGAGTGAGGATATTTAAAAATGCATAGGACTGGCTTTTTAATCATGAGCGAAAAATCTTTATACCCAAAAATAACACTCAACATTTAGAAGGGGTATCAGGGCAAACATGTTCTCAAACTACTGTACTGCAGGCCTGTTTTGCACCGATGGGATAAGGCCACCCAGAACCCGAGGGCAAGCTCCAGGTTGGAATCGGGAGGGGCGGGGGGCGTCCTGTGGAACTAACCTAGGTCCGGGCTTTCCTCCAGCGGAAAGCAGGAACCAATTCCTGGCAAGAGGAACCCAGATTGACGGTGCCATGGAGATGCTGCAAATCTTAGCCGTCAGCCTCAGCAAGACCCCGCGGTCTGGTGGGTTCAGGCAGGCTGCAGAGCGCAGCAGGGCTGGGGGCGCAGGGGTGGACAGGATGGGAATACTGCAGGCGGGAGGGGAGCCCCCATCCATCCCGAAGCTCAACCCTTGAGCTTCCACGGGGTCGGAGGCGGAGTTAGGTCTGGCCGCGGTCACGCAGCGCAGGTTAGAGCACGTTAGAGCACGTTAGAGCAGGGCGCGGGTGCAGCCCAGGTCAGCCCCGCGGCCGACCCCCGAGCTCCGGTGCGGAGAAGCAAGGTCGGGCGGAGGGCGGGGCGGCCCGGGGTGGGCGGGGCCTGCGGAGGCGGGGGCGGGGCCAGAGGTGGGCCGAGGCTGGTCCGAAGGCGGGGCTTGGCCGCGCGGGGAGTGCGCCTGCGCGGGGGGCGCCGGGGGCGGGGCTGCGCGTGCGCGGTGCGCGTGCCCCGGAGGGCGGAGTCCAGGGCGGGCGCAGGCCGAGGGAGGGGGCGCGGCGCGTCGGGAGTCAGGCGCTGGCTCGGGCCGCGGACGCGATGCTGGCTGCGGCGGGCCGGGCGGCGGGGATGTGACGGGCCGCCCTCGCCTCACCTGGGCTCCTCGGGCGGCCCGCGGGCGGAGAGGCGGCGGCGTGACCTCCGCACGGTGAGAGCCGGGGGCGGGGGCGGGCCGGGGTCGGGCCGGGCCGGGTCGGGGTCGAGGTCGGGTCAGGTCGAGGTCGAGGTCGGGTCGGGGTCGGGGCCGGGGCGCGACCGTCCGGGGGGGAGGGGCCCTGCACCTGCACCTGCGGCGAGGCCGTGACCCCCCGGCGCCCCCCGCGCTCCCGAGCGGCTCGAGGAGGTGCGAGCGCGGAGCCCCGGGCGGGGAGGGTCGGACGCCCCCCGCCCCGCGGGCAGTGACGGGCGCTGGGGCCGCGCCTTCCTGGAGCAGTCAGGGCGAGGCCACGTCCCCCAGTGATTTCAGAGCCAGGATGCTCGTGCGGGTTGATGGGGGAAAGTACCCGGGTGCCCCGAAGGACGGCTGTTCTTTTTCTTTTTTTTTTTTCTTCTTTTTTTTTTTTAATGGGCCCCAAACAAAGACACACCCTAGGGCACATCCTGAGACCAAACTTCGGTGGACCCCACGGTTGCCAGAGGGTCCAGATGCTGCTTCTCTTCTCCTGTGGACACCTGCTGTCTTTAGACCTATCGGTGGTTTTTTTTTTTTTTTTTTTTTTAATGCTCCTACTTTTTTTTTTTTTTTTTAAATCAAAGTAAAAGGAAGAATGGTTCCTCTGAGTTACAGTCCTTGGTGGCTAAGCCCGAGTTTGAATTGCAATAATTGCCAATTCATGTCTGTAGGGCTCCCCAGCCGGGGAGGCTTGCAGCCCCGAGACTAGGCCTTGGCAGTGTGGACCCTACTGACGCACGGACCTCGAGGTCCCAGAGTGAAATGTGCATGTCTCACTCCCATCCGTGATGAAAATTGAGCTCTAGTCTTTTCAGGATAGACGTTTGCGAAGGCATTCCTATTCTCCCGATTAAAATATAATGGAGCCTATTATTTTTGCCATTTTAAAAACAAAACAAAACAAAAACAACAAAAACAGCACATCATCTTTTGGGCTGGTTTAAAGATTTTTAGTGGTGGCAGCTCTCCTTTAACCGAAAGAGATTCTCAGGGCACCCCCCCCCCCCCCACATGCACAAAACATGGCTTATCTGCAATCCATATACGATAAGGTCTTAAACGCTCCTGAATGTTTTGCCTCGAGTCCATCTTCTCAGACATTTATTCCTGTTTTGTCTTGTGATTTATTATGGCTCTTTAGTATTATTTGATGGTTTCCTTTAGTGTTCCCAACACCATTGACCATTGACTTCAACACACACTTTCCTGAGCCCTTTAGCCATAATTCTTACTCTTTCACCCCGGTGTGATACTGATGTGCCTTGGTAAGAAACCGCTAGAAGCGTCCTGAGAGGAAGAAGTCTTCATTTGAAACAATAGCAACAACCAGCCATTTATCCTGTATTTCCACATGGAGACCTTCTTTTTTTTTTTTTTTTTTTGGTTGTTGTTGCTTTGGCTCAACTGCTTGGTGTGTTGGAAGAAGGGGACTTTGCTTCCATCAGTGACTCAGTATAGGTTGCTGAGTCCATCATGACTCTACATAATCTGTGTGTGATCGAAGTCAGAGTCCTTTACAGTGGCTGTTAACTTGCGTTTCTGATTCCGTTTCTACCATTTTGCCCACCTCTCCATACAAAGACTACTTAAGGGTTCTCGGAAGATGACATCTTCCTTTGTGATTTTACACCGTTCACTCTGTTGAGAATTCTTCTCTACCTCGTATACAGTTTGCTCTTCAAGACCCTCCTGAAAATATCACCTCTGGAAGCGGTCCAGACATCTTATCCCCTTTGTCTTGACTGACCCAATGCACATCATTTGTTATGCATTTAGCATTTGTCAGTTAGTGATGATGTGTTTATGTGTCTGTCTCCATAAGATTTTCGGGTTTCTTCGGAAAGGACCTTTGCAACTCTCCCATGTACTGTTATGTGGTACAGGTACTCAACCGTTAATTGAATTTTTGAGGAATGCTCTTAATTCTGAATATAGGTTTAAGATAGGCGAACTTTGTTAACTATCTCTTGTAATATCGGAAAACATGGGAAAAATGAATATGCGAGTTGCATTGAAATTTCCAAGAACACAGTCCAAAGTATTGCTGCTTAGGACTAAAAACCCCAGTTATGACAGCAAAAACCAATGCATTCTGTGATGCAAGACTAAAAAATGCATGGCCGGTAAGGATTGCTGCTTTGTTAATTCATAGGACTTTATTTTGACCCAAGGTCATGCAGGTAGAAAGGGACAGACCTGAGATACAGCTTTGACTGTATTTTACCTTTGTCCCCAGTTTCCTAATTCAAAGTCTTAATGATTGTTCTACAATCGGAGTGGAAGATTTTGAGGGGCATAGACATGTATTAGTAAAGGGGTCTATAAATAGAATGTTGAATTTGAAGGAATTAATAAATTACTTGGTTCAGCTTTAAAAATTTTACCCATTAAACAACTAACGCTCGAAAGGTAAGTGCCTTGTTTGAGGTTGCTTAGAGTCAGTCGTACCCCACATCTCCTGACCTCATGCTTGTGTCCTTTTCATTACTTCATGGTGCTTTTGGGGAAGATGAGGAGGCTGCCAATTTTCAGAGGGAGAACAAACCAGCTTGTATTTTCTCCCTCCTTGAATACTTAGCTGCCACTCTTGGGACCTCAGAGCCCTTGAGTGGTGAGAAACATGATTATTCATTTGGGGATAGAGGAGAAACCTAACCTTCACTACTCCGTTGGCCAAATAGTTTTTAACTTCAGTGCTTGGGGCCATCTCCAGATGCCCCATCACAAGTGGCTTCTGCTCGCCATATGGAGATCCCACATATAGTTACGTTTTGATGGTAAAATGAGATTTTAATATAATAAGGTTACAGATGGCTGGTAGCACGGCTAAAATTACACGTAGGGCTAGTGTGTGCGTGAGAAGAGCCTATCTTATTACTCTTCCGTCATAGGTTTTGGGGGAAAGAAGATGGACAGTTGTGGTTTTATGCCTCTGAAAAGCCAGTTTCCAAGCGTGTACTTAACTCTAGTGGGCCTGATCAATTCCAACAAGCTTTTTACTTTACAAACAACTTAATGATGAAAGAAATAAGAAAAAAAAAGTTTACTTTTTCTTCTCATTTGTTTCTCACCAAATCTACGTGATTTTATACTATAATCAAAGCATAAATACAATGTTCAATATTTACTTTCATATATAATGTTTTCTTTTTTGCTGTGATTTTTGTACATTTCAATTATACAATGTTACAGTGAATTGAGTTACTTATTTTTAATAGTTGGACATACTAGTTTCTTGTTTTGCAAGGAATGCAGTTATCACACGGTTGTGCTATGTTTTGCTTCTTCCCTTTAGGATAAAGACCCGGGAAGGAGAATTACAAGGGCAAGGGGCATGAAGGTTTTTGTCACTTTTGAAAAATATTGCCAAATTTATTTCTGAAAGGTTATTTATTTATTTATTTATTTATTTTTTATTGATTTACACTGCCTCCTGCAGTTTGGTTGACCAGTTTCATCATACTTTTATAGGTTCTTAAGAGTTTGTTTTTTAAAAATAGGTGTAAGAGTACCTACTGGGCTAACATCACTATCTACAATAGAAAAGCAAATGCAGTATTTTTCTAGTTTTACTTTCTCCTTTGTATGAGTTTTGTCTTTTGCCCATAAATTTATTGGAATCTTTTTACCAATTTTCGTAAGCACTTAACATCATAAATATTTGAATTTCTTAAAATATGTTTCTGATCTGTTTTATTTTTATTATCGTGGACTTGGCAGTTTTTAAAATTATTAAAATCACTGACTTACAAAAAATTTTTTGTGATTTCATCTTTTGATTGTGAGGTCTGAGAATGAATGTCAGTCTACCATCTGATGTACACTTTTATTTTCCTAAGCTTCTAGAGTTTATTTTATCATATGTATATATCTTTAGAAACATATGCAATTAAGATTGAATTTAGTTTATGTGGATTTTGTACTATAGAGAATCACATTTTTATAAATATCTGAGTTTCCATTGGTAAGCAGCTGCTTTTTTTTCCTTCCTGAGCTTGAATAGGAAACAAGAAAAAAAAACTAACTTAGTTATTATTTTTTTAAATGAATGGATACTTGTTTTTAAGTAAATTATAGTAAATTTTGACAAATGAAAATTTCAGGAAAGCATATTTTGGTTAATTGAAGTTTTTGTTGGTTCATGGTTAACCGGAAGGTCATTTCTGATTTAACACTTATTGTTAATCATTCTAAAATATATGAAAGTAAAGCTTCGGTTATCTGCTTCCTTTGGGGAGTGAGACATTCTAGATAGATGAGCTATTCCAGGGTAATAGTTAACATTGAATGCTGGATACGGTGCTGGTACTTGGCATGGAGTTGCTTACTTACTTATCTCTCATAGCAACCATAGGAGGTAGGTCCTTTTTGTATCCTCACTTTGCAAATGAGGAAACTTAGGCAAAGTGACCTGCCAGAGGTAACACAGCTAGTGAGCAGTAGAACTGTTACCCAGTCAACTACTTTTAAAAGGCTCTGTTTGAGAACTGTATTATCTTATTTTCTGTGCTAAGGATTTGAACTTTGTCTTGTAGGCAATGGAAAGATATTAGATGTTTGAGAGCAAAGGGATGATAGGGTATGTTGTTTAGGGAGTTGGCTGATGTGGCAGTGTGGAAATATATTGAATTGTGTTTCTGATAGAAGGTGGTTGAAGTAGGTCATATGAGAAATGAAGCCTGAAATGCAGAGTGGATTTGGAGATCAGGGGATATTATAGAAAGATACAGGACTTAGTAACTCATGTGCAGGAGAGTGGGAAGCTGGAGTGTTCCCTACCCTATGGAGTAGGGTAATGACGAATCAATCTGTGCTTCCGACACTTTGTTCTATCTTTCATGGCACTGACTATGATGTATTGCACCTAATCTAGTGACACATTCACCCGCCCTATTGGATTATGTGCATTTTTCAAGGACAGGGACTGAGTAGGAGGCATGAGCTAATACAGGATGAACTAATAACAAGAAGAAGACGGAAGACTGAATTGGGGGTGGGGAAACACCAAATCACCTAAATTAAAGAGGGCCTGAAGGAGGAGGAGCTCTAGAAGGTGTCAGGTGTCAGGGAGAAGCAGGGAGAGCCATCAGTGCCAGACTGGGGAGGAGTGTTAAGGGGAGGGAAATATTAGCACAAAGGTAAATACAGGATTCCGTTGAGGCTATAGGCAGTTCTGACTGTTGTGTCCCAGTGGGATACGCTGCTGTCTGGTGCTTACGCTTACGTACAGCTACGTTGTCTTTGTTACTGACTTTTTCCTCCCTGCCTTTCTCAGTATCTTGTGGTTTTCCTGCGTTTAGCTTCTAACGCCTGCTACTGGTGCTGATGCTGGGATGTGACTCAGCCTATTGAGAGCAACCAGTCAGAATCCTCCTTCCTTTTTAAGTGAATTGACAAATCAGAATATGTTAGATGTAATCTGTGAGTTTTCAGCTCTTCTCTGCTGAGTTGATTGCTTTCGGATGTTCCCCCTGAGTTACTTTTCTGACTTTCAAGACTTCTGATTGGTGGTTTTGAGATTTGGAACCATTGAGAAGCTAGAGGAGTCCTAAAGACTGGATCCATCCATGAAAGCTGAAGTTCTTCATCTGTTTACTTTTCCCTGTTGATCAGTTTGAATATAGCTGGATCATCTTCGAGGATTGTTGATCTTAAAAATGCCCTAGGGCCATCATTCCAAATATTTATGAATCTCTGTCCTGTAGTTATCTAAGGTGGGGGGCTTGTTTTAAATTTCCTTGGTCAGTTCCCAATTTATTTCACATGACTGGTTTCATAGAGCCACTTAGAAAAGGAATTTGTGCCTGATTTCTTCTGCTCTTGTTTGTTTCAGAGCATCCTTACTCTTCGCTCTGCTTTCTTCCCAATTTTCATCTGGCTGGTTTCTGTACTTGGTAAGTACAATAAAAAAGGGGGTAAAGAGGGCGTCAAAAGGATAACTACTTTTCTTTTCCCTTCCTTTCTGTAGTTTTTACCACACTTTTCTCCCCATTCACCGCTCCCAACTGTCCAATTTAACATGGTCCCCTACCCCATATCTTCAGTTCTGGGTGTGGGAGTGGGAGATGCAAGACAGCTTTTTAGCTGAGGAATGCTGGATGTCTCAGGGTTTTGGTCCTTCTGTAATGTGATAATTTATAGCTTAGTAGATCCTTTCCATTCCCTGGCAATCTACCTCTCTTTAAAATACAAAAAATAAATTTAGGCCCTGTTTCTTTGAATTAATTCTCATTCACTCTCCTTCTGCCTCCCTCTCGCCTTCCCTCCTCTCTTTCCCTCCCTCCTTCCCTCTGTCTCTCTCCTGCTCCCCCTCCAGCACCCTTGCCCTCCCCCCTCTTCTTCCTTTCTTTCTCTGTCCTTCCCCCAGCTTCCTCAAACACACCCCTCCCCCTTACCAGGATACCATAATCTTGACGATAGAGCCCCTAGAGAATACACTAGGGACAGCTAACTTAGGCAGACACCAGAAGGTACTTTGAATTGTTGTTGTCATCATATTAATGATATTTGGTTGCAGCCTGAGTGCTTTGGGGAAATTTGAGAGCTTTCTCTGACCATTATGACTTGGCAGCCAGTGTTGGGGTTGGCAATTACAGTTTTCTCTGACAATCATAGTTTAGAAAAGCAGGAACTATTTGTAACAGTTATTTAAGTGTAGAATGGGTCTGGTGATATTCTGGTGGTACTCTGAGTCCATAGGCCAGGTTATAGGAAACATATCTGGGGAGTGGGAAGGCAGGGATGGCCATTTTTTTTTCTTATTCTTTTATTTTTATTCTTAAAAAGTTTCTTGGGTTTATTTTCTTCATTTCATGGCCATTTTGCAGTCAGCATTTTCCCGGGAGTTGAGAAGTTCCACACTGTAAATCTTCTCAACCCAGGCTTTGAGACCAGATCCTCAGTCTGGATTTTCCTGATTCATGCCATCCATCCATTAAAGAAATACCCACTGAGCACTTCCTAATAATAGTGCAGTGAAGAAAACACATTTTTTGCTGTTGTGGAACTTTCATTCTAATGACAAGATACAGAAAAGAAGCAAGAGTATATGTAATATGACAGTGCTGTGGAGAAAAAGCAGAATAAGACAGCATGCAAGGAGTATGCTGCTGTTTTATATAAGATGCTTAGAGAAGGCTGCAATGATGGATGATATTTGAGCAGATATATGGAAGAAATGAGATTGTGATCTAATCTGCAGAGATTAGGGGAGAGAGTGTTTGAGGAAGATGAAAGTAATGCAAATATCTTGTAGCTGAAGCATGCTCATCTTGCTTGAGGAGCCGCACATAGATCATTGGAGGCAATGAGGGGAATGATTAGTGGAAGATGAGGTGGGGGACTGTAAGGGGTGCTGGGAGACGGGTGCGTGGTAGATCATACGTGGCCTTGGGTGCCAGTAGGACTTTGACTTTTACTCTGAAGGGAAGAAGCACTGAAAGATTTTGGCTTGTTTTAAATAGACCTCTCAGCATTTATGTAGAGACTATCTGAGGCTAGGTGTAATGAGATCATTCAGGAGGCTCCCGCAGTAATTCAGTGTGGGAGACGATAGTGATTTTAGGCAGGGATTGGCAGGAGTGCTAGCGATCTGTATACATTTTGAAAGCAAATCCAACAAAATTTGATGGTGGATTGGATGTGGCTGTTTGTTGGTTTTATCCTAATAAGTGGAAGAATTGGAATTGCCATTTACTAAGATAGGGAAGACTTTAGGAAAAGCAGGTGGGAATGAGTTTAATTTTGGACATGTTACGTTAGCAGTCCAAGTGGAGATGTTGTCTGACACAATGAGGTATACATGACTCTGCAGTTCAGGGCCGAGGTCTGGGCTGGAGGTAGAAATTTCCGGTCATTGGCATAGAGGTAGTGTTTAATACCCTGGAAACTGATTAGGATAATCTAGGAAGTATGGCTGGAGAAGAAGCCCAGAGATTCTGCCTTAGGGTCCTGTAATGTTGACAGGGAAAGGGAAAAGGAGAGGGAGAGCTAGAGAAGAGTTAGAGCTAGCAAAAGATAGCAAGAAGCACTATGAGGGAGGGGGTCTCAGAGTGAATGGTATCCCTGAAGCCCGTAAGTGTTTTAAGAAGGAGGGAGAGAGTGAACAGCTGTGTCAGATGTTATTAGATCCAGGACTAGGTTGTGACTGTTAGATTTAGCAGTATGAAAATCATTGGTGATTATAACAAGTTCCCGGTAGATTAATGGTGATGAAAGCTTTATTGGAGGGAGTTTAAGAGAGAGCTGTAGAGAGGAATTGGAGACAACTGATTCTTTCAAGGAGTTTGCTATAAATTGAAGATGAGAAAAACAGGGTGATAACTAGAAGGGATGTGGAGTCAAGGAATTATTTTTTTTAAAGATGAATGCTTTTCTAGTATATTTGAACAAATACAAAAATGTTTATAGCCGGTAAAATGATCCAATAGAGAGGGAAAAATTAAAGGAGCCATGTCTTTGAAAAATAAATGAAATTAATTCTAATCTGTGATCCCACGGTCTATCATTATCAAATATATATCCTTCTGTATTGACCTATTTCTTTCAAATTAAGGCAGTAGCTAGTGGAGAGAGGTATTAAAGAACATCTCCTATTCCTAATTTGGTGAATTTTTATCAGTTCAAAACTAGTTTTTATTTGTGAGTTACAAATGTGTGTTTTTTGTTTGTTTTGCTAACCTGTTTTTGTCTGGTAACTTCTCCCTGTTTATCATTCTCAGCAGTTTTGCACAAGTGCTTGCCCTGTGGTTCTAAAATCTGTTTTGGTAATCTGTGTCCAATATGGTAGGTTTACTGTGAAGTACCGTTTTTTAAAAAGGAAAAAAATTATTCAATTAAAAAAAACTTAAAGTGTAAGTGAAGTATTCTTAAGAGAAATATTTGATGGCCATTCTTTTCCCTTTTTCCTAATGTACTTGGCCACGCTTTTTCTGTAATTGCTTCTGATTATTGAGTTGATGTTTGAGATGAGTTTAGAAACTTATGTTGAAAGCCCATATTACAGTTACATTACTTTATATGCCTTCTTCTGTGGTTCATTTATGTTTGAGTAAGTAGTTGTCAATATTTAGTGCTGAAGCATTACTGTAATCGCTTTTTAATCTTCTTCATTGGTCTTCTTCCAGATTTTCTTCCCTTAGCCACTTATCCATACTACTGACTTGAATTTCTGAAACACAGATCTGGTAAGGTCTTATTGTTGCTTAAAAATCTTCTGTGGCTTTCTGTTGTCTATGGATGTTAGACACCCTTTTTTTTTTTGGCTTCTTGCTCACCTCCTGCCTGCACCAGCACTCTGTGGTAGAGGATTCAGAATGCTCCTTACTTGGTTCTAAGGCATATCTAATGTTTCTTATCACAGAAGAATGGTCAAATTGCTGTCTGTGTACAGGAAGTCCTCCACTTGATGTGGCCTTTATCTTCTGTCATGGTTCCATGAAGAAGGGAAACTCTGACATCTCTATGTTTTTGCACATAATATTCCTTTTTTCCAGAATACCATCCAACTTCTTAGCTACTTTGTTAAATCACCTCTTCTTTTTAAAAACCCAAATAAAAGTTTCCTCCTCTAGGAAAGCTTCTAGGCATATTTTCATCATGTCTCCTCTATCCTTCCTCCATTATATTCTCTGTTACTTGTATTCTTGTAACATTTGCACGAAGTTATCTTATTGTAGTATTTGCTGTATTTTTAATCTGTTTGCTTTCATGGCTGGGTCTTCCTTACCTCAACACTAAACTTAGAGTCTCTCAATAAACTTTTGTTGATTGAATAATTGAGTAAAGCAAAGGATTATTCAATGTTGACCCGGTTTTGATTGACCCATTTGGTTGGGCTTTTTGCATCAATATAATTTGTAAAGATTATACAATTGAGTAATTCAGATAGATTATGTATCTCAAATCTTTTTTTGTCTGAGTATCTGAATATTTTCCTTTGTGGTTTCAATTTTTTTCTCTTTGATGTTTCTATTTGGTTATCCTTCCTCACCGTCTCTACCCTAGACATATCTTAAACTCATTTTCTCTACTTGATCTTGACTTTGCATTAGTATTTTCTGTAGCATCATCTTGTAAGTTACTTGGGTTTCTGTGTAGTATTTTTAAGTCTCACTTCATATCTTATCATTATTGAGTTCTATTATAATCCAACAAATAGTTTTTGGCCACATCCTGTGTTCCTGATTTGTTAGTACTCGTGATGAGAGGCTGAAGAAGAGAAGGTCTCAGTCCGTGAACTATTGTGATATATGATGAGTATAGTACTTTAGTAATAGTGGAATATCTAGGGCACCTTGGGAGTAGAGAAATCTCTTTTTTATGTACTCCTTAATTCTTACTTTGGCTACTACCAGTCCTTTTCAGGCCCTAGATAATTTTAAGACTGCTTAATAGTTTGTCTAGCCTTAACTCCCTTGTCATTCCAGTTCATGAACACTGTCATTAGATTGATTCATTGTCTAAAAAAAAAAAAAAAAAACAAAAAAACAACCAAGTCCTTCTTTCTGCTCATGGAAATCCAAAATAGAATATAATCTGGAATGCAAAGGCTTTGGCCCAGACTTCCTTTCTTCTTCTGCTACATGAACTCTCCATTCCAACAAAACTCTTCTACTTTCCGTTCTGAACACACTTCATACTTTTCCTTTTTTGCTTTGTTTGAGCCATTCTGCCATCAGTGTTGTTACTTTTGCTTCTTTTACTTACTGAAATTGTATCTATTCTTGGATGTAGTTCCTAGTTGTTAAATATGGTGTGAACCTTTTAGATGACCATGCCCATGTTCATAATACCTTGTCTGCCTTCCTGACATCATTCCTGTTCCCTTTTCTTACCTATTGTTCTCAGCTGTCTTTTACCAGTCCCATCCTTTAATGTTGGTGTGACCTGGGGTTTTCAGTCTGACCTCTTTATCTTCATTCTGTCATGCTTTCTTGGAACACATGTTGTGTTACATTATCACCTTTGTGTTCATTTCTTTGGCCCTGTTTACCTCTTGAGCACTCCAGTCCTTAGGTTTGCTACTTATAATGCTCACTTGATTGTATAATAGAAAACTTGAAACTTAGAAACATCAAAAATTAAGTACATGTTTTTCTCTAGACTCATGTATTCACCTCATTTTCCTATTTTGGTTAATGATGCTGCCAGTCACTCAGTTACTCAAATTATAAACCTGGGAATCACCCTGACTTCTGGTCTCCTCGCCCTCATTTTCTGTTAGCTGGGAAGTTCTGCTCTTGGCGCTGTTCTCCATTCCCTTTACAGTTTCCTTGGGCCAGGCTCTAATATCTTGAGTAGACCATTGTAAAAAGTCCTTTAAAGTAAGTTTTCTGCCTGACGCTGGATATTGTATAAGAAATTCATGTTGAGGGCAGCCCCGGTGGCGCAGCGGTTTAGCGCCGCCTGCAGCCCAGGGCCTGATCCTGGAGACCCGGGATCGAGTCCTGCGTCGGGCTCCCTTGCGTGGAGCCTGCTTCTCCCTCTGCCTCTCTCTTACTCGCTCTGTATCTCTCATGAGTAAATAAAATAAAATCTTAAAAAAAAAAAAAGAAATTCATGTTGATTCTATCTGGAGGAATGGCAGAAACAAAATAGTTTTTTGTCTTCTACCCTAAGTAGCACCTGAACCATGGAGTAGTAATCTTTATGTATCCATAAAAGGTCAATTTCCCAATATCTCTAGAAGATGATATTAAGAAATAATTTATGCTTTGTATAAGAAATTTGCGGATTAAGAAAATATTATTTCTAAGGATTAAAGGGAAAAGGCAAGGAAAGATAGGGAAACAGAGGTCTTGCAGCAAAATGATCTTATAGGATATTTTTTTAATTAACTAGAAAAGAGTGGGTGGTTTGGCATGAGTGTAAGGCAGGGTTTGTTGGGTAGTGATAGGAGAGAACAGCTGCAAAGGAATATCATAGCCATATTTGGAAAGCCTTTGTAATCTTAGCTATATTTGCTTACTATCTGTGTGTCTGTGGACAGATTATGTGATTTCTGCATGTTTCAATTTCCTTAAATTTGCAAAATCAGAATAATAAAGTTATCTATGTTGTAGGATTGTTGTGAGATTTAAATGAGGTATTGCAGATACCTGGCACACAAATGCTCAGTAGGTACCAGCTGCTACTGTTAGTACTGCTTTAAGGCATTTGTTCTTTGGAGAGCCATTGAAGGATTTAAAATTGAAGAGTAACATGGTCAGATTTATAATTTTGAGTATTAAGTCTGAGATAAGTATAAAGGGTGGATTAACAGAAACAAGGTGAAGATAGGGAATTAAGGAACCTTATGCTAGAATTCTGGCTAATGATGGTAAAAGTCTAGATTAAGTGGTATTGGAGAAGACAGGATGGATTTGAGAATTACTAAAAATCGACATATATGGGCCCCCAGGTGACTCACTCAGTTAAACTTCTGACTCTTGATTTTGGCTCAGGTCATGGTCTCAGGGTTGTGAGTTCAAGACCTGTGTTGGGTTCTGCACTGGGCATGGAACCCGCTTGGGATTCTCTCTCTCCCTCTGTTCCCCCCGCCTTTAAAAGAAATTGACATGTGCGTTATATTTTATGAGTTGGGAAAATCTAAAGTTAACTAGGAAAATAGCAAGGATGTAGACAGAATACCTAGCTGGGTAGGAGACATTGTATTTTTTCTTTCATTAATGGGAGAAGGCTGAAGAGGATGGTTAGAGGCACATACTCACCATTGTCAGGGGTCTAACGGCAGAGCTGGGCTGCCTACCATTCTCTAGGTGGGGCTGGAGTGTTTGGGCCCCTCTAGGTGAGTCCAGAGCAATAACGTTGGGCAGCACACAGGGACAGTGTACCAAGTATCAGGAAACTCTCATGAGTGCAGGAGAGACACGATATAAACCACAAGTAGACCTAACCAGTATCAAGCTTGAAACAGAGGAAGAGCTAATTCCTAAGTGACTGGAAAGACAAACTGATGGTTTTAAATTATATTTCAATTTGAATCTCCGAGTTCTGCCCTTTCTGAGTGCTAAAAACAGATCAGGCCCTACTAGGGACTCACCTAAGTTTTGTTACTTTTATAAGTTCAGAAGTGTCTTTTAAACATTTGGTATTTTAGCATTTGATATTTGGGACATTTTGAAATGTTAACATATAGTCATTTTTCTTAAGGATGAATATCTGCTTTATAATTTTGTTTTTGGAGTACTTTATGTATATTCTCATTTAATCATATATTCTTTGGCAACATTAATTGTAGCATTTAAAAAACTACCTTTAATAGTAAAATGATTAGTAAAATAAATTTTCATTTATTTACTAAGTTGAATATTCTTACTTTACGTAATTTTGCTTAAAATCTCTTTGATGAGATAGAACAAAGTTCTGGCTAGAATATTATGACATGTATTTTCTTGTCACTGAAGTGTTCCTTGCATTGATTGGCCATTAGTGAGTATAGGTTAAATATAAATGTACTTTGATTTTAAGGTGTGGTTGATTCTTAGGCCTCAGCCTTCGGTATACACTTTTACATTTTATTAGTCGTATTTTATAAAATTATAATTATTTGTGTTATTGAAGTAAACATTATTTGGGGATTGTGTGTAGTATTACTGGCATTTTCAGTTCTTTATCAGCAACACTTAGAAATTATGTCTCCCTTGCTAAGGAATTAGAGTGACTCTTTATACATACTGTTATGTCCAAGGGGAAGAAATAGAATACCTTCTAAGTAAAAGGGCAGTCATGCATATTTAGGTTTTTCAGTAACTTTCATTCTTTACTCAATAGCTTTCACTAGATGTTTTTTCTACATATTATGATAGTCTTTAGGAATTGAAAAAACCCAAATATATTGTAGTCCTTATTCTCAAGGAGCTCCCAGTCTAATAGAGACAGTAGAACACATGTAGATATGCTTTTAAAATAAAATGGTGGGTTAGTTGCTATTCCCAGAGGTGTATGGGATCATAGAGGAGGAGCACTTAATCCAGGCAGGTGTCACATGAACATGCTGATTCTACAGTGAGTTTATTGCTATATATTACATGAGAAGTAAAACTATAAAACACTGTCATCTAGCAGACTGATACAGATCAGATCATAGGACTTAGTACCTTCCAGAGAGAAGAGATATAGATATTGTATGTCATGGGAGACTACAAATTCCAAGAAGCCTGTTATACCCTCACTTCTTGTCATG